AATGTTAAAAGGAGTTCGGTCTAGAACCTGCTCTATTTGAAAAGTGTCCTGAGATAACTTCTGTTATGAATTGGTGCTATACAAATAAAATGTAATGTAATTGAAAATTGAATTGAATATTTGTTGCTTTCTATGGCAGTAAACTGAATATCTTTGGGTTGTGGACAAAACAAGACATTGGGGGGTGTCAGCTTGGGCTTTGGAAAACACATCAACATTTTCTGGACCAAACAAGAAAATCAATCAGATCAACAGATTAATTGATGACGTAAATAACCGTTGCAGCCCTTAAATGAAGAGCTTATTTGTTTTGTTTCCAGGCATCATCTCCATGGTGATCTTCACCGTCCTCTGCATCATGGTGTTTGTGATCCGCCATATGTTCCGTCACAAAGGCTCTTACCACACCAACGAGGCCAAAGGAGCAGAGTCGGCGGACTGCGCAGACGCGGCGATCATCGTGAATGACCCGGCCTTCACCGAGACCATCGATGAGAGCAAGAAGGAGTGGTTCATCTGAACCCCCTGCCCCCCCCTCCCCCTTCTCGACAACATGGACACATGACGTTAGGATGTATGTAGTTTTCTAAGCTTAGGGAGTAGTAGTGAGGTGACCGCCTGCGTAACCTCAAGGATGTAGTGAGCGGTTTATTCAAAAAACTTTATGGATAATGGACACCATGGGGTTACAGTGTGAGTATTAAAGCACAGGGCACAGCGCTGCCTGGCAGAGCCTGTGTGGAGGCGCGGAGCGGTTTGTTTTAACTTTATTTGCGACGGACAGTGTGACAGGATGACAGCCTTCAGAGGGTGTAGAGGACAGTGCCATGAAGTTACAAACTTTGGATGTGTGAATGTGTTCAATTATCGTTAATTTCTGTATATCACTTTTTATTTGATTTCAGTTTATTTTATGTAATGTATTTATTTATTCATATTTAAGTCATATATTTTCTTACTTTGCATTTATTTATTTTTATACATTAATATCTGTATGCCTTTGTGCTGGTATTAGAAAAAATGATGGCATTAATGGAAATGATTATGAACCCATTAATCCCAATAATCCTCCACACCTGTAGCAATGCTCATATACCAGTTTTTTTTATATATAAATTATCTCATCTTGAATTATTTGCCTTATTTTACATTATTTGAGTAAGTTTAATTTCAGATAAAGACTGAAAACTTTGTGTGTGTGAGTGTGTGGCTTCCTTGTCTGTGAAGGAGATGTAGCCATGACTTTGGACTAAGAAACGGGGGAAAGGAAACGTCACACTTCTATTTATTTTATTTATTATCTACATAACTGATAGTGTTTCTTATGAGTTTTAAGCCTTGATTGTTGAAACACGTAATGATTGCATCTTTTTTTAATGTTTTTTGCTGCCAAATCTGTTCAGGTGGCGCTTTCAGCTTTTAAAGAATCAACTGAGTCCTGTCGGTCCACAAGAGCTCCACTTACTGCTTTGTGTTTTTTCAGATTTCTGAGCCATTGGTCGTCTTTTGTAACAATGCCATGTGTTAATGCAAAAATGTTTGCCTAAAAGTGATACCGCAAGGTTTCTTAACATAATAACAACATCCTTTGAGTGCCATCTGACCCAGAGTGAGTGATTAAGTTCAATTTTGGCACGTCCAGTATAGAGACAGGTGGGGAGCATGTTTAGCCTAGCTTAGCCCAAAGACTGGATGGGCAAGATGAACCTGGACCAGGAGCTCAAACCTTCAAAGCCGACTATTAGGCTGCATGCTCCATTCCAGTTCAGGAACCTAGTCAGAGCAAAGATTTTATTTTTTATTTTTTTATTTACAAACACAACCAAACACACACATATTCCCTTCCACGCACCCACACCCCCTTCCCCAAGCTGTGATGAAGATAAGTCAAAACATCCAAGTCTGAGATAACAAAATAACCTTTTCACTTCCACAACCCTGGGCTAGCAGATTCCTTCTGCTCACAATCTTTGAGCTAGATGAGAGATGATGAAATGAGAGAATAAAGTAAAAACAACAACAAGCTAAAATGCTTATTTGTCTTTCCTTCAAATGGACGTGAAGTAATCACCCTCTACCAGCAGCAATGTCCCCACCTGCTGAGAAATTTTTTCTTATTTCCATTTAACATAGTACTGTGAAAACAGTATATTCATTTCCTATTTGGTCTAATAAAAAATACAATCACAAGAAAACAGAGACCAAAAAAGTTTTTCAAGTTCTGGAGACTGGATGTGGTTATTTACACAATGAGACCGCCAGATGTAGCATTGACAGTGTTGCTTTAGCCCAAGCCTTGAACCCTCTGGTATGATTTTAGACACTCCAAAACAGGGCCTGTCATCTGCAGAAATCAGGAAGTAAATTCAATTCAATTTTCAA